GAGCAGGGCATACTTTGGTACATAGTTTAACAGGATCTCTCTGGGAGTCCACACTGGAAAGATAACAGTTGGGAGGCCGTTGCTATTATCCAGGCTAAAGAGGATACCACCTTGGGACTGTGGCAGTGGCAGTGGAGGAGGGGAGGAGTGATGTATTTTGAAGACAGAGATAACAATATGCTGATGGTTTTGACTAGAAGTGTCAGAGAAACAGGGTCAGGGTACTCTAGAGTTTCTCTCTGAGTACTAGAAGGGTGAAGTTCTCATCTGTACCAGTAGAGAAGGCTGTGGGAGACAGGATTTGCTGAAGAAGATCAGGAATTTGGTGGACATTTTAATGAGGGTTGCCTAGATGAGAGGCCCAGGGGCTGAGCTCTGAAGCAGGAGAGATAAACAGGAACCAGAAAAGGAGTCTGTAAAGGAGCAGAGGGATGAAGACCAGCAAGATGGTGTGATGCCCTGGAATCCAGAGCAAAAGGTAATCAAGGATGAAATTGTCATCAGTACGTTAAATGCTGCTGATGGGTGAGTGAGATGAGGACTGGCATGTGGCCATTGGACTTGGCAATGTGGAGATCACTGGTGACCTTGAGAAGAGAGGTTTCAATGAGATGGTGGAGGTAAGCCTTTGAATGTAGAATGCTGAAGAAGGATGTGGGGCTCCAACTTGGGAGATCATGACCTGAGCAGAAATAGACGATCAACTAACTGAGCAACTCAGGCGCCCCAGTTTTAGGGAAGAGTTTAAATGAGTGTGTGAGTATGTGTGAGTGTGCTTAGAGAGAGAGAGGGAAGATTGCGTTTACTGCTGTAATTTAGAACCTAAGTTGGATCCATTAGTGCCTTTGACGTTTTGGGGGTGGAGATGACAGGTGTGGCAGAAGACAGGGACACGGCCACCTGAGCTTATCTCTGCTTCAAAGTAAGGTCTTCGGCTCAGCTGCACAATCTCATGGAAAGCTCTTAAAGTCTCTCCTGTATCAAGTGTGTAAGTTACATCCTAGCAAACAGAGAAAGGAGACCAGTGTGCATTTGCATACCGAAACTCTATAGGTACCAATGGGTCACAGAGTTCCACATACTGAACATTTCGACTGATGGCTTTGGAGGATTTTGTAATAGAGGATATCACCGTGAGAGGTGCAGGATCATCTTGTTGACAGAAATAATATCCACATCTTCGGTTTTCACCTTATCAACTCTCAGGGTGAATCTGCTCTCTACCCACTGCCACTGAACGAGGATGAAATCCCAGAGATAAGAGTGGGGACTCATTAAAGAATACATGTTGGAGCTTGTCCTGGTTCATGATGATGCGGGTGTATATCATCATCAATGTCTTGGCTTGGCTGGCTTTGCTGTCGATGGTGACTCTGTTTCCTGGAGCCACTGACATGTTGGAGACCTGAGGCACATAGGTAGCTCAGTTGGTTAAGCATCTGATTCTTGATTTTGGCTCAGTCGAATTGAGTCATGTCTGGCTCCACACTGATCATGAAGCTTGCTTGGGATTCTCTCTGTCTCTCTCTCTGACTCTTTCTCTCTCTGTCTCTGTCTCTACCTCTCCCCCACTTGCGCTCTCTCTCACTAACAAATAAATTAATTAATTAAAAAAATGTTGGAGACTGTGTGAATATTGATTCTGCTCTGATGTCAATCTAGGGAAGAAAATAAGAAAGATACATGAAAGCATCATGTTTGGAGAGAATGATGAAAATTAGTTTCTTCTTTGTTTAATTTTTTTTTTTTTTGAAGTGAGAGAGTGGATTAGTGGGGGAAAGGCCGATGGGGAGGTGAGGAAAGAAGAGAGAATCCTAACCAGGCTTCACCATCAGCATGGAGCCAAACACAGGGCTCAATCTCACAACTTGGAATCATGACCTGACCTGAAATCAAGATTCAGATACTCACTGAAGGACAACCAAGGCACACCAGAAAATCAATTTCTTATGTAGATGTAATATTTTTTGAAATATAAATTTGAAAAGTATTTGTGTATTTTTAAGAGAGAGAGAGACAGAGCATGAGCAGGGTAGTGGCAGAGAGGGAGGGAAACAGAATCTGAAGCAGGCTATAGGCTCAGTGCTGTCAACACAGAGCCTGATATGGGACTTGAACCCACAAGCTATGAGGTCATGACCTGAGCCAAAGTCAGATACTTAACCAACTGAGCCACCCACGTGTCCTTGGATAATCAGCTTTTATCCAAATTCATATTCACACTTAGATATTAGACAAACTTGGAGAGCTTACATGGCTGGGAAAATGTGAATATTTTCCTTTCTCTAGTTCACAAATTTGCTTTGAGGAAATTTCCCCAAGTTCATCTCATAAAATTTTAAAGCAAATGTTCTCCAAACATCTGTGGCTAAATTTCTCAGAGGATGTGGCCTCACCTTCAAGCAGTGCTCTCTGGCATGTGAACTGGCTTAGGCACTGAGTCAGAAGCTATGATTATAGGCTTCAGCTCACCCGACCTAGAGTTTTCCAGTCATATGCATGAAATTATCCAAGGGTCTACACATCAATTCAATCCCTACTAAGCCATGATCGATTTGTCACTGCCACAGATCCCTATTTCTGACATCACTCTGCACCTGCTGTCCCTTTTGGAAACTGTACACACTTCACCTGCCAAAGGTTATCACTACAGTCTGGCCTGTTCTGCTACTTGATCCCAATTTTCACAGGGTGACAATGGGAAACCCATTCCTCATAGGAATCCCAAGATTCCCTGGGAAACCAACTCTGAGAGAGGGAGAGTTCAGATTTTTTTTTTATTATGGAGTGTTCTTGAGAAGCCCATCTCTGGAAAGGAGAGACAAGAAGCAAGATTGGACAGATAAGGAAAGTGAGCTGTGATGGCGTCTCAAGAAAAGCCACCTCCAACCCCACAGAGAGGCCTAGAGGTGCAGTCGTTCTACAGAGTTGATGTGGAGTGAGCAAGGGGGTTGGGCCTTTATACTCTTCCGTCCAGTAAGTATTGTCTTTCCTGGAAAAGAAGTGTCACCTTGGGCCAGGTCATTCTTCAGCAAGGTAATCTCCTCAGAGGGCGACCAGCAGAGGGTGGCCAGCAGGCAGCCCTCACAGCACCTGCAGCGGTACAGCTCTTACTTGTGAAGGGGAATCTAAGCAGCACACCGCAGGCCCTCCTCTCCAACATTCCCATTAAATCAGTGAACTCAAGCCAATGGAGGCTCTCATGCCAGTATCCCGCAGGAATATGGACCCATGCCAGTTCAGGCACGCACAACTAGTAAGTTATTATTATTATTTGTGGTTATATCCATAGACACTGAGAGTTATTTGTAGGTGGGAATAAGCTGCTTCTCCTCAATCTGAGTACCAGAAAACAGCAGAAACAAGTTTATACTGAACCACGTATAAAGTAATTTCCTAACAAGAGGGAAGAAAATAGACATCAGATCTGTTGCACAGACTCACCTCCCCTCTCCCCGCTTCCACAAAATGACAGGAGAAAGAATTAGTCCCCATTAGAGTTAATAATTCCTTTTCAAATGTATCATTAAGGAAGTAACCATATAAACCATAAAATGGGAGAAGATATTCTCATGCACATTTCTGACAAAAGATTCATTTTCAGACTATAAGGAACTCTCAGAAAAAAAAAAAAAAAGAATAACTATGTGTGTGTGTCTGACTAGACCAAGCATCGCCCAGAAACAAACTATCTAAACAGCAATTCAATTGTAGACCTATGGTAAATTACTGAAAATCATTAGTCATAAGGGAGATGTAAATTTTAACAATACTGCTTCAGGATCCACCAATAAGGATATGATAAACAGTATGACAATAGCAAGTATGGGGAAAGGATTTACAGCAAGTGAAAATGTTACACATGGTAGGTGGAGTATAAAGAAGTTCCCCATTTCAGAAAACTGTTCCATAGTATCCACCAAAGCCAAGTTGAGGCTGGCTCTGTGACTCAGCGCTTTCATGCCTCGGAACACACTCATGGGAAGTGAGGGCATAGCTCCACCAAAGACTTTGAAAGCATGTTCTTAAAAACTGTATTGATAACATATTCGAATCTGAACCCATTCATTAAATAAAAATTGAAGTTATTGTGACGTTTTCTTTTAACAACAAAGTATTCTGCAGTGAAAAGGAACAAGTTACTGCCACACTATCAACATAGAGGAAGTTCAAGGAACATGTTGAGCCAACCAGGCAAGACATCAAAAAGTACATAGTTTATGGTTCCATTTACATGAAATACAAGAACAGAGAAAGTCTGGGCTGCATGGTGAAGAAATTAGAAAGGTGGAGGCGGCCTCTGGTGGTAGGGATGGAGCATGGCATTGATTGGAAGGAGCATGAGGGAAAAGTGTGATGCTGGAGAGGGTGTGTCTGTCTGGATCAGAGTCGTGGTGAGGGGGGGGATGTACCTGCTCATGTTCACCCAGGTGTACACTTTAAATTCACATTATAACAGTGAAGGCACTTTATTTTTTAAATGAAAGAGTTTATCAGTGAGTTGGCATTATGAGCTCAGGATTAGATGATTTTCCCATCTTCTTCCCTGCAAGCACTGGTACCTTGAACAACCTGAACTCTGAGAACCTCTCATCTCTAAGGATTATTGTGCAACTGATTACTGTAGATGAGTAATCAGTGCACCACTGAACACACAGCAGGTCTTCAAGCGTCAGCAGATGGCAATAGACTGTGTCGTTGTTGCTGTTTATTATTATCAGTAGTAGCGGCAGCAGTACTAGTATTTTCTTGGATATGGGCTCCTCTTTTTTTGCCTAGTTCTCAGAGTGTATCTCAGAGATGGGATTCAAAGACTAGGCTGTGGACAAATTCCTTCGCAGGTTTCACCTGGAGATCTCAATATTAGATTGATTGAAGGTTTGAGGCTTGGGGTTGTCAAGAAAGGAAGCTTTGGAAGGACACAGTCCCTTGCAGGCCCTCGGCCTTGAAGGGACCTGCAAGCCCTTCCCCAAAGCACACCCTGCTCCGATGAACAGACCTCAGGGCACAGTGCAGCTGCTGGAACCCCTGAACAAGCAGCCCGGTGGGGGGAAGGTTTTTGCTCGAGGCTGCAGCACCGTGGGAGGAAGTGCATAATCCTGCTGGCAGAAGTAACTGGCGGAGTCCTCAGGCTGTACTGTGCTGATTTTGAGGATGAATTCTTTGTCAGACTGAAATGCAGAGAACCGATCTGGGACACCAGACTTTAGGTTATCAGCATCATAGATGATAAGCTTGGGAGGCTGGCCCGGTTTCTGCTGATACCAGCTTAAGTAGTCACTAATGCTCTCGCTGGCCCTGCAGCTGATGGACACGCTGTCTCTCAGGGACACAGAGAGATAGGCCGGGGACTGAGTCAGCTGAGCGGCGCCACTGGCAGCTGGGAAGGAAGCAAGGCACAAAGTCACCATCATTTACTAGATCCCACTCCATTTCCTCCCAGAAGGTTCTGACTGTCCTGGTCCCCTATCCTGAGAGCACCTGAGTCTCGAGGGGCAGGGAGATCCCGGGTCAGAGATCCACGGGACTCTGGGGAGACCCCACAGTAAGGAGGAAACTGCCACCATCTCGGGGATGTCCCCTGCCCGCCCTCCTCACCTGGGATGCAGGACAGCAGGAGGCAGAGGAGCTGAGTCAGGACACCCATGTTCAATGCAGGGACTGCCTGAGGCTCTTTTTTGCCTCGGATCACTGAGCAGCCTATTTATGGGGCTTCTGAAGAACAGAAATATGGTTTCTCTGGGGAAAACATGCAAATCAGTGAGGGGTTGGGTGGGTCTGGCCGCAGCTGCCCAACCAGGGAGCACTGTAGGGGGCAGTGTCTCATGGGGCTTGTCATTGGATGCAGGAGTCGTGTCCAGGCCCCAAGGAGCTTCTCCCCCGTGTTTGTAACCTAGAAACCTACAGTGTATATCCAGTGAGCTCTTCGTTTCGGGGGGTAGATTCCCGTGATTCATCGCTTACATCCAACACCCTGTGCTCATCCCAACAAGTACCCTCCTCAATGCCCATCACCCATTTTTGAGGATGCACTTTCTAAGAATGAGAAGAAAAGTCAGGTGGCCATCTAAGATTTAAGCTTTCATATGAATATATTAACACCATCTTCTAGAGATGCTTGTGAAATATCGGTTCTAGTTCAATACATTATCTAGAATAGATATTATGAGCTATGGGGGGAAAGAGGAAGGGAAAGGGCTGATGTGCTTGGAGCAAGCCCACGCTCTGCCTCTGCAGGCACTGGGCAGTGGAGAAGGCTCCCAGCTTCCGAGTCCCTGCTTCCATGGACACTATTCTTCTTTAGTTTGGGGACTAATTTATTTCATATATCAACTTTTTCCCATTTTGTGTATTAACTTTTTTCTTGGTTCTCTTAGTAACTTTCTCGCCTTGTATAATCATATTTGAGATATGATTTTTTGCCTGATACAGTTCCAGTGTTATCATCAAGATTACTTTCTCTTTATTTTCATAAATGAGTCCGTTTAAAAAGTTATTTGAATTCTAACTCTTTCTATTCCTAGTATACTAAGATATTTCTTAATTAAAAATTAGAATATACTTAAGAGTTTATCAAATATCTTCCTATCATGTATCAGTATGATTGAATTTGTTTTTTTTCTGTAACTGATTATTGTGTTCAATTATATGAACAAATCATCTGAGCTCACTGGAGCTCCAGGATCATCACCATCCTGCTAAAACATACGATGCTTTGGAGACACTCTTTTATTTTTAAGTTTATTTATTTATTTTGAGAGAGAGAGTGAGTAGGGGAGGGGCAGAGAGATTGTGAGATAGAAAAAATCCCAAGCAGGCTCTGCATTGTCAGCACAGAGCCTGATGCGGGGCTCGAACTCATGAACCATGAGGTCATGACCTGAGCAGAAACCAAGAGTTGGGCCCTTAATGAACTGAGTCACCCAAACAAATTTCTTATAATACTGTGCCTGCTATGCTCTTCCTACTTTCTCTCCTGAGATGATTAAACTCATTGATAGCAGTGGCATAATATCCTAGACTATGGGCCCTTTGGTTTGGTCTAATTAAGGCCTGGCTGTCCCTGGTGTCTTTTCTGGGCACAAGGCCTGAATAAGAGTGTCCTCTCTCAGCAATTTTCACTTTCCTTGGCCTGAGGTGCCTGAATCTAAGGGAAGACTGACCAAAAGTATATGATTTAGATAGCTTTATGCTTCATTTTGAGTCACTATATGTGATAGTCAGAGGACCTAGGGCCACCAATAAGAAGCAGTGGTAGAAAAAGCAAAAAGAGAATGATTACAAAACAATTACAGCCTACATTGCCCCATTATTGTGCTTGTGAACGCCTGATCACCAGCTCTCCAGAAAAATAAAATTCTGGTGTGTAGCATTTGCCAATTTCCATAAAAGCAGTCAAATTTCTAACACACTTCTTTCAGCTCACGATAGAACAAGATGAAAACCATTAGGGAAGAGAAGACGTAAGCAACATTACCAACCAACCTGAAAGAACAGGTGGAAAAATGTGTATCCTGGTATAGAGTGCATGGAACATTCACCAAGATGAACAATTCCCTGTGCTGTAAAACAGGCCTGAGTAGACTTAAAAGTGTGGAAAGCAGACAGAAATTGTTTTTCAACATCAAAATAATTAAGTTAGAAGCAGTTACAATAAATTATTCAGAAAATCCCCAAATGTGAAGCAATACCCTTATATATAACTTATATATAAAATAATAAATTGTAATAATGGTAAGAGAATATTAGATAGATAGTACTAGATATAATTAAATGATGAGAAAAGCACAGCATATAAAAATTTGTGGGATGTTGTTAAACAATAGTTAGGAGGAGATTAATAGCCTTTAATTCCTGTATTCAGAAACAGGAATTATTTATTTAATTATTTATTTAATATTTTTACAGCACAAAGACTATAGTCAGTGATACTATAATAGCATTGTATGGTGACAGTTATGAGCACAACATAATGTATAAACTTGTTGAATCACTATGTTGTACACCTGATATAGTATAACATTGTGTGTCATGTATGCTCAAATAAAAAAAAAAAGAAAAAACATTTAATATCAACGATCCAAACTTCTACCTTAAGAATGCAAAGCAAAAGAAGTTCTGATCCAAGATAGTGGTGTCAGAGGCTCCTGAACTCACCTTCTAACCACGGACACCCCAAATCTACAGCTACACATGGGGCAACTCCAACTGCAAGAAACCCAGAAACGAGCTGAAGGACTCCTACACATGGGATTAAGGAGGAAATACACAGACTGAAACAGGTGCACGAACCAGGGACACATTCTTGCTGTAAACTTCACCCTCAATACAATAATATACAATGGGAGGAAACTTGTAACTCCCTGCTTTTCCTTGAAGAATGAAGGGCTTGAATCCATCATCTAGTGCCCCAATTTGTAAGACTTCTACCTGAGGACCACCCCCTCCAAAAAAAAAAAAAAAAACAAAAAAAACCACACACTGATCTGGAAGCCAGCAGGGCTTGCAGGAGACCCACAAGACAACAGTAAACAAGGAAAATAATCTCAGGGCTTAGCACAGAGGGAGCCCACCTGCCAACTTTACCCTCAAAGAAGCCTATTTTGATATCTTAAAAGTCTCTGCCCAAAGGTTAAGCTAATATAGAACACATCTAGGGGCTAACTGCATTCTTCCCTGGAAATCAAGGCCACCAGTGTTTACACTATCTTCCCCTTCTCTCTCTGCCCAGCTCCAGATCCCTGGGGTCTCCCTGGAAAGAACCTGGGACTTGTCTGGAGCCTTGGCTTTTATGGCTGTCATCCAGGCTATGTACCCCTTGATCTCGTGGCTCCGGTGGCCAGCTAGGCTTGTGTTCGAGGACCCACAGGGCTGCCGTAAACAAAGACAAAGAAGTATTAGCAAAAATCATATTTGTGTGCTATAATTTTATAAATGCAATAAATAAGTACATATAATAGATGATAATACTTGATTAATGTGACATTTTGACTGGTTATACGATTTCTGGATTGCTTTTCTGCAATTTAATGTATCAGGGCATCAAAATTTGTACTTTTAGCAAATTCAATTTCCATTTAAAATTGAAAAGGACATCAGTCTTTGGCAAATACAAGACCACAAATGTCATTTGAATATTTTTAATTCTGATAGTGATTATTTTTTGCTATTGCAACTGTTAATTGGACTTTGAGGAATATTTTATGGTTTATGACATGATGCATGTCTGATGTATCATTTTGAAATATAAATGTTAATATGTCTAGACCTGATGATGCTTATAGAACCATTTTTTAAAATGATTTAACTCTTCACACAAATCAGTTTTGTGTAAAAATGAATTTAATTAAAAATTTTAAAAATATTTATTTATTTTGAGAGAGAGAGCAAGCAGAGGAGGGACAGAGAGAGAGGGAGAGGGTCAAGCAGGTTCCACACTGTCGTCATGGAACCTGATATGAGGCTTGAACTCACGAATTGTGAGATCATGACCTGAGCCAAGATCAAGAGTCAGATGCTCAACCGAATGAGCCATCCAGGTTCCCGTGAATTTAATTTTAGAGGGGTGCCTGGGTGGCTCAGTCAGTTGAGCATCCAACTTCAGCTCAGGTCATGAACTCACAGCTTGTGAGTTCGAGCCCCACCTCAGGCTCTGCGCTGACAGCTCAGATCCTGGAGCCTGCTTGAGATTCTGGGTCTCCCTTTCTCTCTGCCCCTACCCTACTCATGCTCGGTCTCCCTCTCTCTCTCTCAAAAATAAATAAACATTAAATTAAAAAAATTTAGATATAAATGTGTACAATGATATTTTAACGTTTCATCTGACATTTCTTGCAATATGATAATACATAATACATGAAACTGAAAGTAGCTTCATATTTGCATAGAATTCAAAACACCTGCTTAACGCATTCTATCACTCTCTTCAATTACAAAGAAAATAATTTCAAAATTGTGTAATAATTGTTTAGTTCAAAGATTCGTATAAAGTAGTGCTCTTTTCCATCAAATGTGACAGTATTTAAATCTACTTTTTACTTTTTTTTAGTTTTTTTATTTTATTTTGAGAGAGAGAGAGAGAGAGAGAGAGAGAGAGAGAGAGAATCTCAAGCAGGCTCCACACTGTCAACACAGAGCCGGATGCAGGGCTTGATCTCACTAACCTTAAGGTAATGACCTAAGCACCAATGAAGAGTTGGACACTTAACCGAATGTGTCACCCAGTGTCCTGATTTCTGTACATTTTCAATGGAATACACGATTCAGATTCATTTTCAGATCATGTGCTATTAAACTAATGTTTTTGTCTGTTGCATGAACCTTTGTTGGTACCTATAGTACCAAATTTGTCAATTCAAAAATAATATTTAGGCTAAATGGTCTTAAAATGTTACCTTTTGGGAAAAAAGAATTCCTATCATTCTGCATCCTTCCTGAGCTATATGAAGTACATTCTATGCTCTGCCTCTTTTAGGTTACTTTGAATGCCAGAACCCACTTTGAAATTTCAATCTGTGGCAACCACCAGATTGTTCTCTGATTTCATGGATCGGTTCTGCTTTTGTTTGGTTGGTGTGTGACTTTTGTTTTTTGGATTTCACATACAAATGAAATCACACAGTATTTGTTATTTTCTGTCTGACTTATTTCACATTATATAAAATGCTCATGGTCTGTCCATGTTGTCAAAAATGGCAAGATTCCATTCTTCTTTGTTGTTTAGTAAAATCTCATAGTGTACACAGACCACATCTTTCTTATAGGACTAGGGGCATATATGTGCTATGAGTTTACAATTTTGGTGCAAAAACACCAAACCCTTATATTACTCATTCTCAGCCACGTTTGCTATGAGGACAGCGTGTATTTAATGCTGTCTAAAGAACGTAGTAAAAGAGGGGTTAGTGTAACTTGTAAAGTAGAAGTTCAGAGAGTGAGAAAATAAAAATAATAATTTGAATGATACCAAATATTATTGTATCATATTAAGAATATTAAATATGCCAAACTTGTTAACTCCGAAACATATTCAACTTGTATTGTCACAAATATGCCTCTGTTTGCTGACTCTTCAGCTGACTTGATGTCCTTGACACATGCACACAGGAGGGGAGGGTGCAGGTCCGCTCTCCCTTTCCTCCTACTGCTCAGAGGGCACATGAATCACCTCCATCCTGGGGTGGGTCCTGCTGTGCTGGGCTGGTTCTGCTGAGGGGCCAGGACATGGTCCAGAGCCCTCAGCTGCATGTGATGCCCTGACGTCCCCAGCACCTGCCTCTTAGGACAACGGAGGCTCTGCTGTGCCTGCTCCCCACTCAAGCAACACATGTGGAGGGTGGTGTCGCGCCACCCAGAGAGGTTTGTGTTCGGGGCTGAATCACTGTGGGAGGAGCGTGTGTACCTTGGTAGCAGTAATAAACCCCGATGTCCTCAGCCTCCACCCTGCTGATTGTCAGGGTGAAATCTGTCCCTGACCCGCTGCCACTGAACCTGTCAGGAACCCCAGAGGCCCGGTTGGAAACAAGATAGATGAGGAGCCGTGGAGACTGGCCTGGCTTCTGCAGGTACCAATCTAAATAGGTGTATCCACCACTGTGTAGGAGGCTCTGACTGGCCCTGCAGGAGATGGAAGCCGGCTGTCCAAGGGTGATGGGCAGGGAGAGAGGGGTCTGTGACAGCACGACATCCCCATTGGATCCTAAAATAATGAGAGATTGGTGCAAGGTTATGTAGAAGTATTATGAGCAATTTTTATGATTTAAGTTGTTTTTGTATTTTAGGCTAAATCATTTTCTGTGATATGATTCATATTCTAATTATTCAATTTCCAAAGACAACCCAAGAGTTGTAGGCACACAGTAGCCTCTATTCCCCAGCATCTCACTAAAGCACTGTTCCTTGATCCTTTCCGTTTCTTCTTGATTTCCCGGGCCCCCAAATTAAGTTCCCCTTGCTGGAGGGCAGTCCCACCCAAGGACAGAATACACATGGGGAGCAGGGGCACCCCCAGAGCTCTCCCCCCACACCCCGTGCTCCTCTCTCACCCCCTCCGCCCTCACCTGGGATCCAGAGCACCAGCAGCCCCAGCAGCTGACCAGGGAACCTCATTGTGAGAAGCGGGACTGATGGGTCCTCACAGGTAAAGAAGGACAGAGCTGAGCTTTATGTCAGAGGGCAGGGCCTCCCAGGGGACCACATGCAAATCCCCTGGTGGGTGTGGCAGAGGGGAAAGAGCCAAAGGCAGGGCCACAGGGACCTCTCCTGTGAGCAAAGTACCTTCCGATGTGTTCTGTGCTTGGAAGGAAACTACCAGAGACAAATTCCTTACTGCTGAGTGTGAAGAAGGATCTGAGTGTCTGGGAAGACACAGTGCTCACAGCCCTGCCCTTCTGAGAAAGCTCCAGAGACCCTGAGGGTGTGGACTTGAGTGTCCTGTGTCACTTTCTGGCAGGAGAATGGCCATCCTACTTGGATCCTCTCAGCTACTGTCCAGGAGGAAACAGAGCCGCCCGGCTCTGGCTGACTAGCAGAGTATCTCCAAACCACAGGATGAACTAGAGAGAGTTCTAGAGCTTCTGGTACCTGCTGTTTCCAGGCTAATGGTTTTAGACAATTTAATAATGGCTAAACAATGAATTATACTCACTCTGGGACCTTTGGAAAGATGAAAGTAAAAAGCAGGGAGAAAAGAATCTCTCATCACAGGCAGAGAACTAACAGCCCTGCTTAGGAGACTAGGAGAGAAGAATGTTGTGCTTCAGGCAGTGAGTGTGGAATTTGTGGTAACCATTTGTTACATATGGTGTGTATCCTGTCATTCTTTTCTGATAGATATTTAGATAGATAGATAGATAGATAGATAGATAGATAGATAGATAGATACTAGACAGATAACGCACATCATATATTTTATGTGAGATACGGATACTCACACAAACACCCCACACACACACACAAATCAAAGAGATTTCTTAAGAGAAGCAATTTCTAAGCTCATTGGACACAATGAACAATGTGTCATTTTGTAATGTTTCATTTTATTCATTACCATTTTCTTTTGGATGCTTAGAAAATCCTGTCCTATATGGGGGCTTTCTCATTCTGCACAACTAGTGTGTGCCAGAGGTTCTGTGGTCCTGCTAGTGCCGTGGGAGAAGCTGAGTCTCGCGCTGGTTTATGTTCGGCGGCAGGAGGAAAGGAGAAGAATGTTATGCTTCAGGCAGTGAGTGTGCAGTGGGGGTAACCATTTGTTACATGTGATGTGTATCCTGTCATCCTCCTCTCTCTCCCCCCGGATATAAGTAGACAGATAGTATAGACAGACAACACACACACACCATATGATATATATATGATATATACCTCCCAAATCAAAGAGATTTCTTAAAGAAAGCACTTTCTAAGTAGCTTGGACAGAATGAACAATGTTTCATTTTGAAATATTTTATTTTATTGTCATTTTCCTTTTTTAAATGTTTATTTTTGAGAGAGAGAGAAAGAAAACACAAATGGGGGAGGGGCAGAGAGAAGGGGAGACACAGAATCTGAAGCAGGCTCCAGGCTCTAAGCTGTCAGCACAGAGCCTGACCCAGGCTTGAACTCGGGAATGGCAAGATCACAACCTGAGCTGAAGTCAAACACTTAACTGACTGAGCCACCCAAGCACCTCCTCCTTTTTCCTTTTGATGCTTATAAAATCCTTTCCTTTACGGAGACTTTCTCATCATGTATAACCAGTGTCTGTGAGAGGTTCTGTTTTCTTGTCAGCACTCTCTGAGAAGCTGAGTCTCTCACTGGTTTTTATGTCAACCGTGAGTCACTGAGTTCAAAAGCAGATTCTGTATGTGAGAATAGCAAAAACTGGGACAACTATTTTAATGTCTGGGTGTAACCTGTGTCTATGACTGACATTTTTTGGGGTCTTTACTTAACGACAGTCACTGTGGAATCGGGCCAGGGTTCAGAGTTGCTGGAGGCATCAGTTTACCAACTATCCTTCATGAAAATAAGGACATGACTCCATGATCCTTCCTGCAACAGCTTGATATATGTCATATTGAATCGTTTGTGAGAATTGTGTCAGCTTCAAGTGACCCCACAAAGGGAGTCACAGTCCTGTAAACAAAATCTTGGAGAAACTAAGAGAATAGAGTTTGTGTTTTGATTAGATCTCAGGGAATCTAAACCAAAATCATACTGAACTGAAAAAAAAGCTGAATACATACAATTGTAGACATGATTACACAACATAGATTACTATGAATACCTTCTCAAATCCTCCAGGAAGAAGATTTTGTACCAAGGTAGGAAGCAATATTGTGTAAATGTGTATTGAGACAAAACCTTGGGGCACTTGGATGGCTCAGTCAGTTAAGTGTTGGAGCCTTAACTTTGGCTCAGGTCATGACCCCAGGGTTGTGAGACTGAGTTCCACATCAGGCCCTGCACCAAGTGTGGAGCCTGTTTGGGATTCCCTGCCTCTCCTTGTGCCTCTCCCCCACTCACCAGTGCACTCTCTCTCTCTCAAAAAAAAAAAAAAAAGTAAAGCCTGAAATCAGTGGAGGGACCCAGTTTCTGATTGATGACATATTGTGACAGAAGTCAGAGTAAAATAGACCATTTTCCATATTATACTAGTTGGCATTTTATTTACACTTTTATGTGTTTTCTTCACTGATCTTTATAGTGGTGACCAATGCAATACTGAGTTTTACTCTTGACAGTTCCAGCCCTCCTGATCAATCCTTGTAGTGAATGAATTAGAAAGATAAGCAATTGAAAATGAAAAGAATAAAGACAAAAAAAGGAAAAATACAACACAATATTATAAATCTTAAGATGGGTTTGAAGAACTACGCATTGCAGATGTTAGATAGTGAATCACATTATATAACACTGTGTCAAGTATACTAAAAAAAAAAAAAAAATCGTTGGGCGCCTGGGTGGCTCAGTAGATTAAGCATCTGACCTCAGCTCAGGTCATGATCTCACAGTTCAAGAACTCGATCCCCATGTTGGGCTCTGTGCTGACAGCTCAGAGCCTGGAGCCTGCTTCTGATTCTGTGTCTTCCTCTCTCTCTGCCCTTCCCCCACTTGTACTCTGTCTCTCACAAATAAATAAAAACATTAAAAAATTAAAAAAAGAATGACATTATACATTATCATATGTGAAATATCACAGTGTGGAAAATCACTGAAAATTATTTGCCTGTCATGTTCTTTTTTCTATTTTAGTTTTGAAAATGTTTGTTTTATAAAGTAGTCTTTCGAATGCTTGCATTTCAGAGTATTACTATTTCATACAAAACTTAACCTGAAACTTTAAAAGTCTCCTTTTCTGTTTGGTTTTGATGATCTCCAAATTTCTTTTCACAAAATATCCAGGAAAGTCAAAATCTTATAAAAATATTTTCTTGATCAGGAAAAGGCTTTAAAATTTTCCTGTACTACCTGTAAACTAAAGGAATCCCTAATTCCAAAGAAGACTCTTTCTCTCCTGCATGTTTATAAACTATGTCATACCCTGGACAATAAGACGGAGCGGGGCATGCACATTACTCATGGCTAACAACATCTATGAGCCATGTAAGAGCACACGTGTGAGATCCAGGTGGGGAGAACTCCAGGCATCTCAGCCGTGGCCACCGTCCACTGAATGAGCAAGGACTTACCCAAGTGGCTTTCATTGTGGTTTGGTTTCTGTGCCTCAGTCTGTTCATTGGGGTCCATGACCCTGGAAACCAGGGTGTGATTTGTGTACCTTGCGAAGATACCTTGTTGGTGTCACTTGTGAGTCCATTGACCTGGGGCCAGAGTTTATGGTGTGCTGGGTATGATGCTGGTATACATCCTGTGGACTTTGATGTATAAATTTTATCAATCCAAACAACTCACACTCATCCTGCTTTGGCCAAGAGGAGAGACAGAAGCCTGTGTCCTGACTGAGTCCCAGTGCAAGTTCTTTCTGGTGAAAGGGGAGCTTTCCTGCATGAGACCTGAGACCAGCCATCCAGCAGAGGGTGCATTTCCAGCTGCAAGCCTGTTGAATAGATTCCTGGGACCTGTGTGAGACTGGTCACCTTTTCTAAGTAACTGCAAACTGTCACCCACTAGAGGACAAACGCACAGATACATATTCTGGTCACAGGTAGTTCACATACACTGATGAATGTATTGATCTTCTGACTTTATAAGTGACTTCTCAACCATGTGAAGCAGGTGACTTATGAGCCTCAATGATCTAGATCCTTCACATCCCTGACTCTGCCTGGCTAATCTGAATTACTTCCCAATATTCTAGTTTCTTTTTGTTTTCTTTTTTCTTGTAGTAAATACATAAAGAAATACATTTTGTAGAGATACCTGAGATTCGTCTGAGTCCTGTGGAGAGATGGGAGCAATGTCTCATGTTGCCCATGAAGGTTATTCTTCCAGGGATGCTACTCCCTTGGGAGGCCCAGATCACCTCAATCTAATAGGGCAAAGGGAGACAGAAGTTTCCTTTGACCTCATGTCACCTCATCATCTCTCTACTTTTATGCACTCTTTACTCTCTGTAGCGATTTGCATTCCGACCCGAAAGTCTCTCCCATGAGGGATGGAAATTTTCTCCTGAGAAGTCTCATTAAACCCCACAACTTTCTCGTCATTTAAAAAATATTCTTCCACTGTTTGATGTGAGATAGACTGATTGTTTATTTGTATGTTTGCTTGTTGGCTATAGGAAAGTTTGATTCACCTGAGAGAGAGAGAGAGAGAGAGAGGAAAGATACTTGAAAAAGACACTAATCTGTTTGATCTTCATGTGATACCATTATTGAAACTGAGCCAATGGAGAAATCAACTATGATGCATCCAGGCAGTGAAATATGATTCAGCTGAAAAAAGCATAATGTACTGTCCATGGAGACAGTCAAAAGTTGAGTGGATGCCAAGGGTTCGAGGGGAGAGAAGGATGAATAAGCAGAGCACAGAGAAGTCTGAGGAGGGTGAGATGATGCGGTACAATGCTGTCCTGGGTACACATCGTGAGACGTTTGTCCAAACCCTTAGATCCACCAGCAGCAGGACTGAACTACAGTGGGAACCGTCCATGTGCGTGGTAACGATGTACAGGTT